GCGATCAGTGTGGCCGCCACCAACGCCACCCTTTGATGGATGAAGAACGTGATTGATATGCCCTTCTGCGCACTGCGACGAATGGTATTTTCGTGATGTTATTTGGTAGTCGATTGGCTATATGAGTGATTCACGGATGGGAAAACATTGCATGACGCTGCAATACAGCTGCGATGCGAATGCATCGCAAACTGCTGAGTAGCACAGCAGGCAGCAGACGTCAGTGCTGAAGTTTGTGCTGTGGGTGTGCCATTCATCTGCTGTTGCCGCTGATACACTTGGTGCTGGCGTTTAAATGGCTGCCAACATTTCAGCTGGGGTGTGAGTGTCATAACTTGCATCGACCGAGCAACAGGTTCAGCGCCACGGCATAGAAACTCACTGCTCTCTTTAAAAGAAAGACAAGCTACTTGTGAATCAGGCTGTGATGTTCTCACAAACTTCAACTTCAACACACAAAGGCGAAAGCGCGCGGAGTAGCTGAATTTTATGCTGCTGTGATGCCCAAGTCTGAAGCTGATGCAAGTGAGGCGGCAGTTGTTGTTGAAGTTGAGCGCATACTTCGTGAGTATCATGTTCATGAAGTCGTCGCGGGTACTTGTCGTCAAAAAGCACACAAAAGTTTTACCCACAGCGGCACTGGTGGCAGGGCTTCCATGCACATCCGCAGCGCATTGCATGGCTGCAGTCAGGCGCTACGGCATAGCAACCCTTCGCTGCAAATTGACACGAGTCCCCTGCACCCCCCCCCCCCCCCCCCCCCTCGCCCCCACTGCTCTCACAGGCGGGACCGGGCACGATCGCCGAGGCGACCATCAGGGGGTTGCCCATCATGCTGAGCGCGTACCTGCCCGGGCAGGAGGAGGGGAACATACCGTATGTGGTGGAGGGGGGGTACGGCGCGTTCAGCCAGAACCCGGCCGTGATCGCCGACACCGTCACGGCGTGGCTCACGGATGATGCGATGCTGAGCGCGATGGCGGCCAACGCGCGGCTGGCGGCGCGGCCGCACGCGACCACGGCAATCGCGCGCGACATCGGGAAGATGGTGAGTGACTCGCACATGCACATTGAAGTTGAAGTTGAACGCGCGGCTGGCGGCGTGGACGCGTGCGACCACGGCGATCGCGCTCGACATAGGGAAGATTGTGAGTGACCTGCACATGCACATTGCTGTTGAAGTTAAAGTTCAAGTAGTGCGGCGAACGCGCGGCTGGCGACGCGTACGCGTGCGATCACGGCGATCGCACGCGACATTGGGAAGATGGTGAGTCACCTGCTGCGGTTTGCGCATGCACATTGAAGTATAAGTTGAAGTAGTGTCACGAACGCGCGGCTGGCGGCGCGCCCGCACGCGACCACGGCGATCGCGCGCAACATCAGGACAATGGTGCGTCACCTGCTGCGGTTCGCACGCACATATTGAAGTGGACATCGAAGTAGTGCCGCAAATGCGCGGCTGGCGGCGCGCCCGCACGTGACCACAGCAACCGCACGCGACATTGTGAAGATAGGTGAGCCACCTGCAGCGGTTCACAAATGCATATTGTAGTAGTAGTTGAAGTAGTGCCGCGAATGCGCGGCTGGTGGCGCGGCCGCACGCGATCACGGCGATTGCGCGCCGCGACATTAGGTGAGTCACCTGCAGCGGTTCACAAATGCATATTGAAGTAGTAGTTGAAGTAGTGCCGCGAATGCGCGGCTGGCAGCGCGGCCGCACGCGATCACGGCGATTGCGCGCGACATTGGGAAGTTGGTGAGTCACCGGCTGCAGTTCGCACATGCACATTGAAGTGGTAGCTGAAGTAGTGCTGCGAATGCGACGAAGCAGCATGGACGGCGGAGGGTTTGCGGATTGCAGGGCTGATGCTCGGGGAGATGGCACAGCGCCCCGCAGCAGTGCACAAACTTCAACATTGAAGTGCCATGAACGCAACTCACGGACCTCATTGTCAAAAGTTCAAAGACTGTTGGCTGATGCTGGGGAAGATGGCAAGCGGCTGGCAGCAAGCACATCTGTGAAGTATGTAGCGCAGGTTTGATGACAAACTTCAGCAACAGTAGGCTGAGTGACACGGCAGACGAACGCGGTCGCGGTGCGCATCATTGAAGTATGTAGCGCAGGTTTGATGACAAACTTCAGCAACAGTAGGCTGAGTGACACGGCAGACGAACGCGGTCGCGGTGCGCATCATTGCGGTGATGCATTGCACATATGTAGCACAGCGAAGGCAACGATTATAGTTACACAGAGTGCATGAGACGATTGGGGCCAGTTGGCCATCGACCATGGCACTGTACTCAGCGAATCACAGCGGGGTTCACCGTAGTACACAAATAGCAGTTTCATTACAAGTAGGCACAACTGCAAAGCTATTGGGGCCAGTTGGCCATCGACCATGGCACTGTACTCAGCGAATCACAGCGGGGTTCACCGTAGTACACAAATAGCAGTTTCATTACAAGTAGGCACAACTGCAAAGCTAATTAAGCAGGCGTGTTGAGGATGGACGCATGCCCCGGCAGGATGCTGGCCATGATGCTGATGCAGGTAAGGCAAGGTGAACAAGGACGCATCGGCGCTTGGAGCTACGAGCCAAGCCACATCGGTTCTGCGGAGCATCAGCTTGCGATTCCTGTTCGCTCGCCTGTTGCTTTAATGTGTACGAATCACGTGCACCTGCGGCAGCTCTTGGCATTCATGACCCTGCAGTTGCACAGTCCATGCACTTGGAAGTGCTCCAAAATCTTACGCTAATGATGATGCACGTTGCGTTTCAATGCAGGTGTACGCGCCGGACAGCCCGCCCACCGTGCAGGAGGCGCTGCGCGAAGTCGAGCGCCAGCAGAAGCTGCAGAAACTCGCAGAGGGGAGCTCTGTGGCCCCGGCTCCGCCCACTGCCAGTGCCACGCACTAGTTGGCATGCAGCGCCCGCCAGGCCACGCTGCTATGCCACCTTGCGGTGTAGCCCATCGCGGAAGGGGGTTTGGGGAGGGGGGGAGGGAGGGGGAGAGTGGGGGAGGCACGCAGTATGATGTACTTGATTGTACACGCTGCCAGGTTCAGTATACGCATTGCCAGGGCCTACAGTACGGAATGACAGCCGTGCTCCTCTGCGGAAAGGGGGGGGGGGGAGGAAGCGTGGCTGCGTCCTGCAACGGCTCAAACGGCCTCTTTTTCCCCGCATTATTAGGGTGCAAGAAGGACCACTACATGTGTCGTATCCTACCCGTCATCCCAGTCGCTGTAGCCCATCACAGTCTGTATCACATTGTATGCCGCACTTAAGGGGGGCCGGGGAGAGGAGAGGCAGAGCGAGGGATAGCGGTCGTTTTGACCTAGTGGGGCACGCTTGGGCCAGTGCGAGCGCGCCAAAACTGTTTTTCTGTGGTATGGCATGCGCCATGATAGAGCTTTGCCAGTGCACCTTGTCAAGGGAGGTAACCCCTCCCCCACCGATGCTGCGCACTTTTCGCCTACACTTACAATACAGAGAGTGTGGTTATCACTGCTGCAACCGCAAAAGGCCGCAGTGCCACGTTGATTTGTGCGCCTTTGCTGGCTTCCATCATGACGGTCTTGGCGTTGCGCAAACACACGCAGCAGCGCTTACTCACAGCTGTTTGGATCGCTCATTCGAAGCGATGCGGTAAGCATTCCCATGTCTGTGTCACTTGGGACGCTCCATGCTGCAACACTGCTTGCCTGATGCTGCTTGTCCTTTGTGTGCCATGACAGATTGTGCTGACGTGGCATGGCTAATGCAAGAGCGGGCAAGACAACATGGTATTGTCACAACCACCATTGCACTCTTGAGCGCTATGTCAGTACATTCTGTAAGTGCGCACAGGTCAGATGGCAGAGGCTCAGCAGTTGATTCAACAATATCGTGGGGCGGGATGCGTCCTCTCAGTATGTACATGGGAGTGGGGTCACGATCATGAGCGGTTCAAATGTGCTCGTTTTTTGCAACAAAAACGGAGCAAAAACAGAAGAAGCGGGTGTCAGCTGGATGTCTGGTTGATGTGAGAGCGGCGTGGTGCAGCTCGAGGGCTGATGATGTCCACACATTGCTTGCAGCTGTACAATCGATGCATGCATCACCGTATGCATCGCACACAACAAGAGACCATCGGCCTGAGCGTCAGAACAACCACGCAATGCTGTACTCCATGTACACAATATCTGCATGTACTTCTATTAATTTCGCTTCGCAAGTACTTTTATTAATTCTCGCTCAGGGCGCGAAAAAGCCCAGATGATGGTCTAACTTGATGCTGCTGTACGGAATCTGCATGTCGTGTTACTTCCGAAAGTGTCTCACTGCATGTACGTGATGTGTAGCATGCAAAAGTTGGACACCCATGCATGGACTCAGCCGAGGCTGTCAGACATTAAATTGTGATGCATGCGACTACATGAAACTCGAAATACACTGCATATGTTGCTTTAATGTACTTTCTGGTCACTGAGTTGTCAGATGCAGCTCTCCCAACCGCTTTGAGCCCTTGAAGCATTCTCAGCCAACCTCTACTAGACTATAGTATCACCGGGGTTACTACTAGTAAGCTTGGTTCCTAGCACAACGAGGGAAACACAAACATTGACACAATGTGCTGCAGAAATCAACAACAGCATCAGCAGCAATATATGTCTGTACGTGATCAAATGCAACAATTGGGATCCTTGCATATACCCAACCGAGTTGTGCTCCTCTATTTCTTTATTTCTTTACTTGTAAGCATATGTATGCTAGCAGCAACCAGCAGGTGCATGTAGATCCAAGTGCGATCAGGGTGATGTCACCACACAATACTCACCGCAAGTGTGTAGCATATCATTCTGCAATATGACATTTTGCAAGCTGTTGCAAAGATGCAGTTCTCCCAGGTCTCTTGTCCCTTTGAAGAATCAGAGCCCCAGCTGGCCAGCTTGTTCCCCTCGCAAACGAAAAGAAATATAAGTACATAAAGGCTGCCCCAGACATTTTAACATCCCCGGTGACTTAGCGAAGTGGTTAACGCGCGAGATTGCTAATCTCGTGTCCTATGGACGCGCAGGTTCGAATCCTGCAGTCATCGTTTTGATTTTGAACCGGCGGCTTATATATTCTTTTTTCGAACATAAGCAGCACAAGAATTGTTTTTTTCTTTTGTGTAACTTCAAAAAGCCAGATTGGTGGCGTACAGTGCGCGCGCAGCGGAAGGTGTGGCGAGGAACTGCCTGATAGTATCGGTGGGCTCTTTCGAGAACATGATGTGGTCATGACATGTAATGGTGTGAGGGTGCGATGAGTAGAGTACATACATGTATCAAGTACGGTGCACCACCATGTTAGGAGGAGCCGCTGGCGGAGCGGCGGCGCGGAAGGCGAGGAAGCACAGGGGACACTGAGGGCACAGCAGCACCGCACGCTCAACCTGTCAGCCTGGCTACAGCCCGAGGACTAGAGAGCGGATTTCGCTCCACCGCGGGCCTGTGGCGAACAAGGCCAGACACGCAGCGTGGGTCGCCGGTGACAGCAAGTAAGCCTCGCATTGATTTTGCTAAAGCTACCTACGCACACAGCGACATCGGCCGAAGCACAAGAAGGGCAAACTAAACCAAAAAAAAAAAAAGAAAACATCAGACGATATCGCCGTCGACGGATCGGGAAGGGGGAACCTAGGGCACACTGGATCGCAGGACAGTAGATAGCAGTTCACCAGATTAAGGTTTGAACGCTTGCTGACCAGCTTGATTTGCAGCCGCACAAGGGACCTCGCCTGGCAGAGACTGACTGCATTCAGCACACGCACAGACACGACAGGATCACGACACTGCAGCGGCAAGGACACGAATTGCACAGCATTGCATTCAACCTAGCTGCCTTGTGTTGGTCAGAGGCAGAGAGCTTGAGCACACCGACTCGTTCCACCACCGCTCGTTTCACGACGGCGGGAAAAGCACCTCACCAGATACACCAGAGCAGGGTGTGATCTTGAACTGGAAGTGGTATAGCTGTGCAGGGACGTGTTCGCGGTAGGCAGCCGCGCTTTCGAGATCGAGCCTGGGCTTTTTTTTTTTTTTTTTTTTTTTTTTTTCTCTCGCCCCTCAAAGTCGCCTTTCAAAGCTATGGCCCTCCACTGGCTTACCAGCCCTACCTCACATGGGGAGGGGTCACCTCTGAAACGCAAACGGGGACAGCGCAACCACGGGCTGAATACTGGCTTGTGGTGGTGGCAGGTCAAAGCTGCACGCCAATCTGACACACGCCGCAGACGCCGCCATGGTGTTGGCCGTTGGGTACGCCTAGCGATACCGCCGCCGCCACCGATCCCGGGCCCGCCGCCAATCCCGGGCCCGCCGCCGATTCCAGGCCCGCCGCCGATACCGGGCCCGCCACCGATCCCGGGCCCGCCGCCGATACCGGGCCCGCCGCCGATCCCGGGTCCGCCACCGATTCCGGGCCCGCCGCCGATACCCGGCCCGCCACCACCTCAGCTGATGGCCCAGAGCTCTAGACCGCGGCCGATGCCAGAGGTGCCAGTATGCAGTCAGGTTGCAGAGCTGTGCAGAAGCATGCGCAGACTACACTTGTCGTCAGCCGACTCGGACGAGCCTCAGGGCAGTGGCAGCCATGCGCACGTCAAGAAGCGCCGCCGCCATCTGACCAGCCCAGGTGCCAGTAATCACTGTAACAGGGGATGCTCACAGACGAAGCGCCCGCGGCATCAGCCTGCCAGTGACTCGGAGGCTCAAGCGGCGAGTTTACGGGAGGCACTGCCGCCAACAGCGATAATTGTACTGAGCTTGGTGGTACTACCGCCACCAGCGGCAAGTACACGCCGTCGGGCGACACTGCCGCCGGATCCACCAGTAGCGACAACGCCAATGCCAAAACGACGATCGCGGCGGAAAACGCCTTTAGTGACGGCTGCCACTGCCGCACCAGCGGCGGGGCCCGCACCGGCCAACCAGGTGGTTGCACAGCCACGGACGACTGTCACAGCCGCCGCTGCATGCGGTCGCAAGGTTACCTCCGACTTAACGGCGGCGGCAACGCCACGTGCGGCAGACATGGTGCCAAAACCACCGGCAGCCGCTGCCGCATCAGATGGCCAACGCGGGGCAGCTGCATCCCGGCGGGGTCGGCGCCGCGGCGCCAACGCTGGGCCGCCCCTGGGCCGCCTCGGAAGCATTGGCAGCATCAACCGCCCAGAGTCGCCGTGTGGCAAACTGAGTGCGCTGGCAAAGGCGGTCACCATGACCGTGCCCGTACCGATGGAAGTTGGCGAACCTACCAGTGGGCCAGCGGGTCACCAGAGACGGATCACGTCGCGGCCTTCGCAGCCAGCTAGCAGCGGCGCCTCTCCCCAGTGGCATCCCGGTCCTCAGCCGATGGAGGTCACCGCAGCGGCAACCCCATGTGCTGCAGACATGGTGACAACAGCACCAGCGGCCGCTGCTGCACCGGGCGGCGAACGTGGGGCGGCTGCACCCCGGCGGGGTCGGCGCCGCGCCAGCGCCCAAAGCACTGGCAGCGTCACCCGCCCAGAGCCACAGTCTGGCGGTGCGCTGGCAAAGCCGGTCACCGTGACCATGCCTGTACCGATGGAAGTTGGCGAACCTGGGCCGGCGGGTCACCAGAGACAAATCACGTCCCGGTTTTTGCAGCCAGCTGGCAGCGGCGCCTCTCTGTCAGGCGGCAGCGTCACCTCTGACGGTAACAGTCGCAACGGGCACCCAATATCCGGCATCACCGCTAGGACAGATCTGGCGCCCGCCAAGATACACGCTGCCAACCGGAAGGTCAATATCCCGGGGCTGGACTGCCGCATGTGCGACAAGTTCATAGTGCGAGCAAATCCTCGCGCCCTGGACAAGAATTGCCCAGCGGCACACGCATGTGCACACCAGCGCACGCGCCACACAGGGAAAGGGAAGCAATTTGCAGAACTGCATGTTCAGCTTTTCCTAGACCACCGACCAATATGCGGCGGCCTGGAGCAGGTCTGCGATGGGTGCGGCAACCTCTTCATCAGACGCACAGCAGCAAGCGCCACGACACCATCTGGTGATCTAGGGGCCCTGGACCAGTGCGACGTGTGGCGCTGCGCCGACTGCCTCGCAGGCCCGGTCGCCGCGACAGCATGCACACTGTCAGGCTGTGACCGTGCATCAGGCCATGATCACATTGCTGACATACACACCCGACCAACGACATGCGCGGCGGCAGCGGGTGGTGCAGCTGTTGGTGGGGGGAATAGCCTGAAGCCAACAGCCGCGCTGCTCGCCGCCGCTAGCAAATGTGGTCCCATACGCAAAATCCTCGGATGCGAGCACCTGGGGGTGGACCCCAGGCAAGCCCATGCATCTACGTTGGACGGTGTGGCAGTTGCGCCGCTGCCGAGACTGACCCGGAGCAGCACAATGGGTGTGCTGCCTGGCGAAAGTCGTGCTAGCGATAGCGGCGCAACGATGTCAAGCAACGATCGTGTGCCCAGCACACCTGGCAGTGCAGCAGCTGCTGTCGCAGCGGGCGCTCAGTCTAGCGAATGCCCCAGGGACCCGACGGGATCTCACTGGCAAGGCTTGCTGGGGGCGGCTGGCGCACTCGCGCGCAGGGTACGTGCACTGGCCCTTGCCCCCAATCGGGCACGCGTCACGGTGCTTTGCGCTTGGCCGACGGGTACCAAGCTTGAACCCGGCCGCACGTCACGCCGACTGCACGCGCCAGCAACACAGACCCTGCTGGGCCGGACTCCCTGCGCACCGCTGGTGAATCAGATGCATGACCTGACGGTCACGTTCAGCTTGCTCTCCCTCCGAGAAGAGGGTAACGACCTGGCAGCGGTGTTTGACCAACTCTCCCTTAGGGAACCGGTCGTTGCCAGGTCGCCTCGCCAGCCAGCCGGGAAACATGGCGAGTCAGACGTAACGCAGGCCGGTGATAACAGCACCCACGCAACAATGACCGAGACAGCATCTGTCACGGCTATGGTTGCCAGTGGAAAGCGCAGTCGACGCAGAGGTAAACACAGACGGCGGACGCAGGAGCGACAGGCCCAGTGCGACAATTCTCCTGCACCCCTAGGGCAGCTGGCACCAGCCACCACACCGCCAAGGGGCGGTGCCTCTGCCCCCTCAGCACCAATATCCGGGCCGGCGAAGGTCACCACCGTGACGGTGGCGACCCGGATACCCTCAACCGTGTGCCATACAGTCACCGTGGAGGAGCAGCAAGACGCGCTGGCAAAAGCCACCAACTATGGCTTTTCCACTTGGCACACGGGCCTGCAGGCACTCCACAAACAGGCGCTTGGGGAAAACACAGCGACGCTAGCACGTGGTGGGGAGCTTCGCCCCGTGAGCAACGTGGGCAACGGCAACTGCCTGATTCATACAGCTCTACACGGCATAGGCAGCGTCGCAGTTGAGCACGGACTGCCGGCCCCAGCGCTGGTGATTGCCATGCGAGAGGCACTGCTGGACGGGATGGTGGCATACGTCACGCAGGGGGCGGGCAAACAAGGGGCCAGCATGTCATCGATGCGTCAACTGACCGCGCATGCCGCAGCCCAACCTGCGTGTACACGTGAACAATTCGACACGTACGGGACACGCGCTCGCTGCCTCGCAATCGAGTACGGCACAAATGAAACGGATAGCAAGGACAGCGGGCACACGCTCCTGCTGCAACGCCTACAGGAAGAGGGCGTGTGGGGACGGCCCCTCGGTTTGTCTGTGTGGGCCATTGTTGCAGCGGTCTACGCGGTCTCGGTGACGGTGTGGCAGGCCAAGCCTCAGGCCACTGGCAGCACGCAAAAATCAACAGGGCTGGTGCTGGCACAACTGATGGGGCTGCCAGCGGTATTCGCACCGGCGACTCCAGCTCAGCCTGACTGCCATCTGGATGTGCTGTGGACGCCGCCTGGGCTATATACAAATGTGGGACACTTTGAACTGCTTGTCGCCCCTGCGGCAGCTCCGCCCTTGCCAACCACTATGACAGCGTCGGCGACCACTCAAGCTGACAGCACCCACATCACGGCTCCGAGTCGGACACAGCCCCGTACTGCGCTGCAGTTGCCACAGCAGC